GCAAATATTAAAATGCTATACAATATTAATATTTCATTAAAGGTATGTAGATATTTTCATAGCAGGCAAATTATTTTTTATAATATATTATGATCGACAGCTATTGCATTAAAGAAAAGATATTCGCATAGTATTATACTATGTATTATATGTCAATATAAACATAAGCTTATGTATTGTTAAAAAAATATATATAGCTATAAAAATAATATTCCTGATGATGATTTACAGTTTCCGTTAACAAAAATTGAAAAACAGTATAATACAATATAAATAAGAAAATTTAATTAAATAATAGTAGAGTAATTGCTATCTCTGATAGTATTTTTCATAGTATATTTTTTCTAGATATCATCAATGATTAAACATCATTACATAAAGACATTTTTTTTATTCCATAATAATTATATGTATATTTGAAGATTTAGCTTTGAATATTTTTAAATAATCATTTTGTAATATATAAAATGACTTAATTAATAAATATAAAAATTGGATAATTGTATTCATAATTGTAAAAATAATATATGATGTAAATTTTTTTTATATTTATGTACATAATTATTTATTTTTAATTTTCATTGAATATAAATTCATAGCATTTACATACTGTAAATATTTATAAGTATTTTTCATATTTTTTTTTATTTTATTTTTTTTTAATTAACCATAGTATTAATATTAGAATATCTCAAAGAGATTAATTTTATTTAATTAAGTTATTATATTTAAATATTTATATTAATATAAATACAATCGTAATTTATAATTCTTTTAATTTTGCTAATCAATTAGCAAATATATGAATAAATATATGAATCAATATTGTAAAATATTCCTATTCAATATAATATGTAATATACAAATAAATATGTAAATTTTTGATAAAATAAAGCTTTATTCATGCATCAAAATAATACATGCATATTCAGTATAAAATGTTTTGCGTAAGAGTGAATTAAAAATATACAAGATTATACAAATATTAAAATTTATCAATATTCTAAAAATATAACTAACTATTATTAATAGAATTTTCTAAACATATATGTCCAATATAGCAATCAATAGCAACCCTATGAAGTTGTGGAAATCGTTTTGTTGATGTTAATAAATGTTTCAAACCTGCTTTTATTACTAAAAAACTTACTTCACAATATGATTTATTTATAGAATTAGAAATATTTTTATTTGTTTCATATTTATATAATACTTTTACAACAGATACTCTTTGCAAATTTATAACATTATTATATAAAATTTCCTTAGGTTCAATCATTAAATTTAAATGCCAATCCATTGGTTTTAAAATGAGAGAGTGAGTTTCTTTTCCCATAAAACATTGCAAAACTATTTCTTCACCAAAAATACCAGTCATTGAAGTTTTAATAGCAAGCAAAAAATCATTAAAGGGATCTGTTGCATTTTTTATTTCTGAGTTATTTAATAAATTATAATCCACAGCACAACTCCATAATTTAAATGAAGTATCAGTATGAATTTTTCCTATATATTGTAAACATCTGTTACAAATCACAATATTTTCTTCTATTTTTAAATGATGATTAAACAAATTTGCATGAATGATAAAAAATAATGATCCATAAAAGATATCAGATTGTAATGGAATTAAATTATGTATAATATTTTTATGATTATATTTACAACAAAACCATTCATCTGGATCATAATTCATATCTGGTACAGGCAAAACTCTTTTAATATGTATATCTTGAGAAAGAATATTTTTGCAGCAACTACACATTATATTACACTTGTTTGCATTAAATAATTCAGTATTTTTTACAGAATTTTTCAAAAAATTGTTATTTATTGTTGAATTGTTAATTATTTGTGTTTTGGAAGATCCAAGAATAGGATCAGATGCAATTTGAGCTCGAAAACAAATCCAATTCTTTCTTACGTTTAAAGTTGATAATGAATCTGGTATTAATTTTACAAATTTTGTTAAAAAAGTTACTGTATTATTTTCTATTGTTATTTCTATACTTTCTTTTGAAAGTTTTATTTTAATTTCTGTTAAATTACTTTTTTATTTAAATGAATAAAAGCATTACATATTTGAAGTCTGGGTCTTAACTCTAATGTTATGGATTTTATCATTTTGAAAAAATATTATTTTAAAAAAATAAAATTTTTTGATAAATGTAATTAATTCCTTTTTTACATTGTTTTAAATTTAATCCAATATATGAATTGAATTTTATTACATAACTTTATATACTTTATATATATATATCATTCTCTTCTCTTTAATACTATAAAAAAATAAATGAAAAAATCATATTTTATATTCAAAAATAAATTTTTATCTTGATTCATATAAATTTATATAAATTGAAATATAAAAAATTTGAATAATTTACCTTAAAAATATTTGATGATGAATTTTTCCCATATGGTATTATTAATATTATTAAATTAAATAAAATTTTCAAATTTTTTCTTATTTTTTTTTATCTGAAAACATAGATATTTATAAATTAATACTAATAAAATATCATAATATACTAATAAATTAATATAATAATTGTATAAATGATATTATATAAATATTTATAGATTTTATAAAATGTATTAATTAAAAAATTTATCAAATTATTAATTTATTTACCAAATGTAGAATCTATTATGACTAAATCAGAATTCGATTTAATATTTTTAGATATTCTAAACAAATAAATAAATAATTATAATTTGTAATGTAATGTAATTGTAATATAATTTTACTTTATATATTACGTGTCAAATATTATGTTTTCTGATAATTAATAATCGAATAATTAACATTAACGAATATTACTCGTTGAAATAGCGTTAATTATATACTGTTTTATATAGGAAAAATAGTATCACAGATAAGATGCAAAATAGATCTAACTTTCACTGTATTTTTTGTTTCGTGCCTGGAAGAAATGAAGTCTCTAAAATTCATTATTATTTTAATATCATTTTCAGCATTATTGAGCAATTTAAAATAAAATAGCAATGTTGATAATAACTAAAATTGAAATTAAATTTCAATATAAAATTACAAATAAGAAATAGAATAAATATTTTGTAAGAGTATATGAAATATTACAATTTATATATTTATAATTATATTTATATAAACTTATATAAATTATTATGAAAAAATTTATGATTATTAATCTAAATATATTGTAAAATTAAAAATGCAATATATTTGTTATATTAAAAATTAAAACATATTGTAGTTTAAAAAAAAAAGATGAAACATTCAATTAATATCGTGTCATTATGCATCAAAAATAAGAAAAATAATTAGTATAAGAAAAAGGTAATATAAAAAGATAGGTTAAAAATTGAAAAATCAACTTCAGAATGTTGCAAATAAAACATATGTATATAAAGAAAATAAATAATGAGAGAAAGATAAAAATAGCATAGAAAATGATTTTCATATTTTTTGAATATCAAAAACATTTTTTGAAAAACAACTAAGAAATGATACTAATTTTCAATTTTTATTTTATTTTATCCTATCTTTGAAGAAATATTTTTAATATTCAAGAAGTGATATTACAATTAATTCTTAGTATATCTCTCTTTTTCACACTATTTACTCTACTCTATGTTTATACATATTTTATCTGCGGCCCTCTGAAAATGGCGCTAAATCTCCAATTTTTAATGTATTTCTGTCCTTCCACTATTTGTTTTCTTTATTTTTAGTTTATTACGAAAAATTTTAAAAAATTGTAAAAAAATTTTGTTTGCCATCTTTATTTAATTATATTTTTTCGAAAAATTTGGCCAAAAGTTTCTGTTTCAGAATTTTTAAAAAAATTTTATATGCTTGAATTATATTCTTCTCATACAAATTGATTAAAAATTTCGATAATATATTAGGAAAATATAATTCAATAAAAATTAAATTATAAAAAAATATGCGAAATTTTTCCAAGAAAAAAGAAATTTATATATTTATGTAAAATACTGTGAAATAGTTTTGCATATTTATCTATAACAACTGCCATTTTTTGATATTTTTAATTTTTTTGGATTTTAATTTTTTCACAATTCTATTTTCATTTAATTCTAGAGTTAATTAAGTCATATACTTCTTTATATATTTCTATATTATACTTATTTCTTAAAATGCTATTAAGTGAAATTGATATATCTCGATATTTTCTACAAAAAAATATTGGTCAAATATAAATCATGTAAATCGAAAAATTGTTAGTATAGAAGAATATAATTATCTCTAAAAAAGAGATTGTGTTATATATGATTTTTTATTGTAGCAAGATTTATTTTATTTTTCTATTCAAGAAATTCATATAATATATATCTGTTTACTAGCAATTAAAAGATTTATGAATTTATCTAATATATTTTTAAAAACTGTTAATTTTTTGTAATTGAATTCAATTTAATATTTGTATTTACAGACAAATTTTTATATCTTTTCTATGACGAAATCACAGATTTTTATATCTAAATTATGACAAAGTTATTTTTTCTTTTTAAAAAATATATATTATTATATAATAGCTATTTAATCAATAATGATCATTTTAAAATATTATATATTAATTATATTATTTTTTTTATAATAATTATCGTTAAAAACATTTAAAAAAATTTCACTAATCTTTCTTTCTTGTTTATTGTATTATTTCAGCAAATAATCTTAGATAATTGATTGTTTTATTATTTTTATATTATTATAAGACGTGAGATATCTATTTGCTATATTATTTATAATTCCTAACAGAATTCTATCACAATCACATTGTTACTGCGTTTTTAGTAATTTGTGAATGACATAAAAATAGTAATGCTCTAGAATTCCAGAAATTTGGACAATAAAAATAAAAATATTTTATTATAAAATAATTTTTCGTGATATTATATTTTAGAACATGGAATGTTTTGAAATAATCTCATAAATATTAAATCTATTTTATTCCATTTTCTGTATAATATATTGTGATAGTGTTGCCTCTGTTGGGAAAAATTGTAATTATAAAATAACCTAACGAAATTTATAAACAAGTATAAATATTAAAATTAGTATTGAAATATGATTATTTTTTCAAGATATTTATGTGATAAAATATGGCAAAAATTAGCTTTTGTAAAAGGTTTAGGTATTTCTTGTTACTATATTTTTATTCTTCTATTTGTTTATTATTGTATTATCATTTTCAGATAAAGAGTTTAAAGTTTTTTCAACTTTGAGACAACAAAAAACTCAATTAGAAGATAATAATTCTAAAATGGAAAATAATAAGTCAAACGATTCTCTGTCTTTTGTAAATTATAGATTTATTTATCCTGAATTTTTACCAGATCCTAATCCATTATATCGTAACAGTATGAGAGAAAAATTAGAACGTATGGATATGTTGAATAGAAGATCGGTTTTGAATATTCCTGAATTTTATGTTGGTTCAATATTAGCAGTAACTTATTCTGACTTACATGCAAGTGAAAAAATAAATAGATTTGTTGGTATATGTATATTAAGGGAGGGTAGTGGATTAAGAGCTTCATTTCTTTTAAGAAATGTTGTTAATGGAGAAGGTGTAGAAGTATCTTATGATTTATATGATCCTGCTATTCAAAAAATTGATTGTTTAAAGTAAATATAATTATTATATTATAAATTAATTAAATATAATTAAAATATAATTTATTATAAATTTCTTTTATTTATAGATTGGAAAGAAGATTAGATGATGAATTACTTTATCTTAGAGATGCACCATTAGAATATAGTACATTTCCTTTTAATATGGAAATGGAACCAACATTTTCAAAATCTGTTCCAATTAATAAAATTAAAATTCCTCTTAATCCATTACCTTGGTCAGAGAAATGGGAACGTAAAAATCTAAAAGGAGTTAAAGACTTGATTGTTACTGAAAAACGTAGAAAAAAAGCAGAAGCTCATTCTAAACCATGGGAGAAATATGATTTGATGAAAACCTATAGGTAAAATTTGATATTAGCAATAAGTAATTATTTATTATTTTGAAGAAAATAAGCATAAATATGTATTTTTATGTTTTAATAGAGAAACTATTCCAGAAGAGGAACAAATTGAAATATTTTCAGATGTATATACAGAACTTCGTCACTTGGAAGTACAGAAGAATATATTAAAACGCAAATATATGTTAAAAAGACAAAAACGAACTACATAAATCTTTTTAAAATTATGAATAATATTTTTTCCAATTAAATATTATTTGTATATTAAAAAATGATATAATGTACATATTTTTCTTACATGATTTCTAATTATTTTGTAAAAATATAGATATACATATATATAATTTATAAATATACGTATTGCCCATTTTTGTTATAATAGTAATTCATTTGGATATGTTTCAAACTGAGAGTTCTAAAAAAAATTATTAATAATACATTTTTTGTTTTATTAGGAAGTGAAAAATATACAATAGAAATTATAAAATTTCAATGACTACACATCATCTTTAAACATTCTTATCTGATGTATAAGGAAACAATTATTTTTTGCATATTATTCGAATTGAGAAAAGATAAATATGCAAACATAAAATTAGCTAGTTAATAATGCTACATTGATCTCTTTAACCATTTTAATACGATATAACATTTTTATGAGATGTTCCTTAGCCAGTGGAGATGTTGAATACCATACTGGACTATCCGGTACACAACTTCTTTCTGGTAGTAAATAGAATACATCATTCCGTGTTTTAACACTCTCTGGACTAAAATAACACAATTGAATTAATATAATTATTATATTTATTTGAAATTTTCTTTTATAAAATAAAAATAAATAAATGTACCATTTAGACAAGTAAAATTCATATAATTTAACTGGACACCTTAATGGATTTTCTTCATTTTCTTGTTGTTCATATACTTTTTTTTTACGTGAATTACTTCCTAAAAAAAAAATATTATCATTTTATTACTTTTTTAAATATAAAAATTATTTAAATAATTATTTAAAAATACTTACCTAATGCTGATTGTGGTGGATAAAAACGAAGTAGAACATTTCTAGATCCTGGAACTTTTCCTGTTGTAGCAGGTTGTGCAGCAGGATTACGTTTCCAATGTTTCATAATGTGAGAAAATGATAATTGCATATGTTCTTCTACTGTCTGAATAATATTAAATTTTAATCATTTTAATATATAAATATTAATATAAATATAATAAATCAAAATAATGTATACATACTACAAGGTTAAAATGTTTAGTGTTAAAAAACATTAAAGTACTTAAAAGGACATGAGGGGAATGAGCACCTAATTGTTTACATTCCCATAAATGTTCTTCTTCGACCCTTGTAACAATGTATTCTACAAAAAATTTTATTAATAATATAATATAATTTTAATTAATTTTAAAAACAAAAAATAACTTACGTGCATCATTATAAAGAACAGAAAATTTTTTTTGCAACTTCGTTCAAACAATCTGTAAATCTTTCATAATATGAATCCGTAAAAATATTGTCTATTCTATTATTTTCAAATAAATACTGTTGAATTCCTATAATATAGAACAATTTTAAATAATTAAAAATTTCTTTCGATTAATAACAAATATAATTATTTTACCTAAACAAAGATAATATATTGTATCTGGAGCATATTCTGCTCCATTTGGTTTTCTAACTTCTTTCACAAAAAGACATAATGAATAATTTAATTCATCAGCTGTGAGTTGTAAAAGATCTGTTTTAAATAATTTCATTTTTCTCATTGGTGTACTTTGTTTTTCTAATTCAGTATTTTTTGCTACTACCTATTTTAAAAAGAATAAATGATTTTTAATTTCAATTCTTAATTAAAATTGAAATTAAATATATATTTAAATTACCCATTGTCTCCAAGCATTTACTCCGAATGTATATTTAAGTGCCATATTAGCATCTGGTTTTTCTATAGGTTCTATAATTCTTGGTTGAGGTGGAGGTTGAGGTTCAGGAGGTGGCATCAAAGGCATATCATTTGTACTAGATACACGTCTTCCTCGTTTATTCGGCGTAGATCGCGGTTTATATGGAACCATTCGTTTTCTTCCTCGAGTAGCAACAATGAGTCGTTCTGATTGAACTAAATGTTAAATAAATTTTTAATTATTATCTATTTTTCTATCGCTATTTTTTTTCTTTATATTGTTTACTTTCATTACCATCATTTTCTATAGTTGCATCAGATTGTGTCTGTGCTTGTGTAGCAGTGATAGTATTTGGAGTTAAAGCAGCTTCTAAATCAACAGCTGGTTCATCCAATTCTCCAGTTGCCATTTTTAAAGCCATTTGTAACATATCATCACCAAATGTATTACTAGAATCAACAGCTTCTGGACTAAAACCTCCACTATGTGAATGATCTCGATCACCAGTATCTTCATCTCTATAAAAATAAAAAAAAAGAAAAACAGAAAAAAAAATTTAATAAAAAATTTTAATATTAAAATTACCTATCATCTGTAGAATCTGAATCAGTCTCATTAGTTTTCTTTTCTGTTGCAACCATTTCTGCCATCATAAGAAGTTCTGCTTCAAAAGGATCTGCTGGTATTTTTTCTTGTATTCTTTTGATTTCTTTAAATATTCCCTTAGCACTATTTCTCGTTGTGGGTATAAAAATAGGCACAGGAATTGGTAATGGAAAAGGTAATGGAATTGGAAAAGGCATAGTATACATATGCATTGGAAATGGAACATAAATTGGAACTGGTATCGGTACAACTGCTTGTTGAATTCCATCCGTTTGTGTAGCTTTTGTACAAGGATGTGGACGTACTGAAACTCCTTTTGTGTGCATTACAGGTTTACATTGAGTTGTTTTATTATGAATTTGGACTGGACTTGGTGGTCTTGTTATAATATGCTGCTTATAAATTACTTGTGGTGTCTGATTTTGACTAATAGCAACTGAAGGTACTAACATATTATTTACATTATTTTGTTGTGAGGTTGGACTGGATTGACCATTTCCAATTGTAGCTAAACTTGTAACTGAAGAAATTACTGGCATATTCTTTTTGTTTTGTATGTCATTAACTTTTTGATTATTAGAATTTGTGCTTCTTTGAGGTAATGTTCTTTTAGGCATACCGGTAGGTACAGGATCATCGCCTGTCGGTATTGTAATTGGAGATTTAGTATATTGGGCTTGAAAATTCATTACACAATGATATGAACAGAAATTTCGTATCGTCGCATCAGACATTGTTAAATGATATTGTGCTTGAGAAAATTCTTTGCAAAAGTCACAATTTATTCGTTTTGCAGAAACTGCATTAATAGAAACCTATATAAAATTAAAGATAAATATAATTTTATATATTATATGATATAAGAAAAGAGTAAATTTATTTAATACCTGATATAATGTTAAACAATTTAAACTACACATCATCATTACTTGTCCTGTTTTTAATTCTTTTTTGATCATATCAAAATTATATTTTTTTACTTTGCACCAATTACATGGAACAATTTTCCTATTAGTAATAATAAATATATTTAAACAAGTTTTAGAACAAAACATATGAGCTTCATTTTCATAAAAGACAACAGAACTTTTTTTATTAGGTAATTCAAAAAATTTTTTGCACGTAGAACATTGATCAGGATCAACCTTTTTTACAAATTTGAATGCTGCAAAACATGGTTCACTACATATAGCTACTGGATCAGATCTATCTATTTGAACTTCACAATGAACAATTTTTTCCTGTTATAAAAAATATAACTATAATTTAGAAGGTTTCTATTGGATATGTATTAAAAATATAAATATAAAAAAACGAAATGATTTCTTACTTCTTGGCAAACACTGCAACATTTTTTTTCCATATTTGGAGGTTCAATAGAACTCATTTTTGAATATTTTTCCATGCAATCTTGTGTACAAAAATCTTTAAATTGGCCTTTATCACCAACTGGTGCAAGAAAACCTTCTGTACTAGAGCTTATATCTTTTTGACAATAACTGCATACTTTTAAGCCTTTTTTGAATTCTTCCAAACATGTGGAACAACAAAATTGTCTAACATCATAACCAAATCGTACACAATACTTCCCTAAACTGACTGCTTGTACCGAACCATTGCAATTTCTACAATAACTTCCATATTTTGTTTGAAATTTGCCTAGACATTCCTCATTACAAAACTCCATTGTTTCCCAAGAAAGATTACGTTCATCATTAGGTTCAACAATTAACAAACAGTTTGCACAACGTTTCTCTCTCTTAGAATTAACTCCATCACTGGGTATATCTGTTGCTCTATTATTAGCAATTTTAAATAAAGCTTTGCAAGTTTTTGAACACACATTGTAAGTATCAAAACCAATTTTTACTTTAATTTTACATGATCTTTCTTCATTACATTGTTTACAAATTTCTTTAGCTGTTATTTCTTCAATTTCAGAATTTTTTGATTCCTCATCAATATTAATCACATCTGTAGAGATAGCCGTAATTTTATTAATTGATTCTTTCTCTGTCCTAATATTTTTTGTATCTGTTATAACACATTCATTTGCAACATTTGGATCTTTTAGATTTTGTTGTAAATTTTTATTTGTATCAGTATTTAATTCATTATTTTCACATATTTGTTTATCTTCACTATTTTCGTGGTTTTTATGTAAAGATTCTTTATTATTAGAATTTGATTTTTCTGTTTGTTCAGGAATTATAACTTTCATGCTATCTGGAATAATACATAACTCATCATCTTGTCCTGGTAAAACATTAGATTGTTCTTCTTCAGTATCCATTGATATCTCATTGACAGTTTTTTTTGTTTGATCATTACATTTTTCAGTTGAATCTTCAACTTCTGTATTTAAATTTTCATTATGTTCTGATTGAACTGTAGTTTTATTGCTATTTTTAATAACATTTTGAGATAAAATATCAATAGTACTATCTTTATTCCTTCATTGTTATCATTTTTATTAGTACTACAATTACTGTCTCCATTATTTACAACATCTTGCAAATTATCAGCTCGATTACACAATTTAGAAAAATCTATATTAGTTTCATTCAGATCCTCAGTTTCCATGGATTCAATATTTTCTGTGATAAGATTATCTCCACCAAAAGGATCTTCAGCATCGATAGATTGGTTTTCAATTTGTGCATCTCCATGTTTTTCTTGAGAAAATTGTACAAATTCTGTATTTTCTGGTTCTATAATATTTTTTTCTGTTATATTTTTATCATGATCTTCTAATGTCTCTTTTGAATCAGTCTTTTTATTATCTGAATTATTTTTTTCATTAAGAGATTGTTTTTCTGTTTGTGAATTTTCCAGAACATTATCATTAATTTCTTTTTCTGTTAAATTTAAATCATTCGTATCTACATTGACGTTCTCTAAACTTTCTGTTTCCTCTGATACATCTTCTGAACATTTTTGAGATTCTATACATTCTACTATATTAACATTGTCTGATAATTTTTTTTCCTCATTTTTATCAATAATATTAGATATCATTAATTGAATTTCTGAATTTTTTTCCTGTGAAACATTTTTTGTAATATTTTTATCTAAACTCGATGATTGTATATTTTGGCAAACTGTAACTATAATATTTGTCTTATTTTCATCTTGCAAATCATCTTGTAAACTTAATTTATTTGTTTGTAAATTACCTTCTTCAAAAACATTTTCTTCGCATGATTCAGTAATTGATAAATCAATATTTTTTGAATTTTCATCAAATAATTTTTTTTTATTTACATCTTCTAAGCTTATTTTCTCAGTATTTTCACTTATTTCAGTGATCTTTTGTTTTTCTTTTGAAATTAATGACTTTTGTACTTCATCTACATTAATATTTATTGTTTTATTTGGTTCAATTATATCTTCAGTTTTATTTTCTTTTTCTATATGACAATCTTTTTGAGTTGGATGACTTAATAATTCTATATCAATATTAGAATCCATGCTCATTTATGTGATTAGCTATATAAAATAATAACATTATATGAATATTATATAATATATATACAGATGAAAAAAATATTAAAATTTAATTAAATCCTTAAAATATATTCTTAACATAAATTAAAATATAAAATAAATTTTTAGTAAAAGGGAAAGAAAATTAATTATAAATAAAAAATCATAAGGAATTAAATATCTTATTCATTTAATATAAATACATAAATAATATAAATTCATTTCAAATTAACAAATATAAATAGAATTTTATAAACATAAATCAGATAAATTGATAATATATTATATAATAAAAAAATAATAAAACATTTTCCAAAAACAAATAAAATTGCATTTTTTCTGAAAACATATAATAAATAATAGTAATAATAAAAAATTGAGGTTATTATAAAAAGTAGCTTCATTTCGCCATGTTGTATTTTACATTTGTGATTTAATCAAGTATGACAGTAGAGGCAATAAAACATAAATAAAAATAGATAAGAAAAATTATATTTACATTTCAGAACAATTAATTATAACATTTTCTGAATAACAAAGTAAATAATTGCAGTTTAATATTTCAAATTAAAATACAATGTACAATTCAAAATCGTACATCATTTAAAATTATAATATTCTATTTAAAAATATATAATATTTTTAGTTATTAGCTTTAAATATTAAAAAGCAAATATCACCTTTTTTTCTCAATGCTAAATAGCACTTCGTCTCAATTAGTTAAAAATATAAATCCGTATTCATTGTCGAAACACAACAACCGTGGCGGTAATCCGTCTACATACACTACCAACATATGATTGTAATTTTATTTGGATTAAACTATAAAATAAAGCTTCGTTTTCATAATTACGTTATATTAATATTTTGTTTCATATGAATATGTTATAAAAATATTTTTAAATAAGAACAAAACATTATATCAACGTAACTATTAACATATGATTGAAATGATTTGTATTTGAACGATGTATTTTATAATCAAATATAGTAATTGTACATATAATATTTATTGAAAATTTGCTATATATCAATTTATAAATATATTTAGAAATATGTATTTAGAAAAATTCATTTTAATTGATTAATTATTCATATTCATTAAATATAAGCAAATTTTTTTTAAATGAAAATGAATTATTAAATTATATAATAAAATTCAAAAATAAATATAAAAATATTAAATAATATATATCTATATAGTAAAACAAATATAAAATTATTGTTTTAATAAAAATATAAAAGAAAAATAAGATATGAAAGTTAATTTTAAATAAATATTTTATAACCTTATGTCCTTGTTTCTATTTCTTTTTAATAATATTAAATAATTATATATAATATTAAATTCATTAATCTTTATTATTAATCAATTATTATTACAAATTATTTTTAAATATTTTAAACTTTCGAGCGCATGCTCTATTTTGTGTATAACGGTTAAATGTGAATTTGCCTGTTGTTTAGTCGTGACGTATATGTATGCTTTCACGCATAAAGTCAATGAGTTACAGTATATGTTAAATATTTATACAATAGTGCATAAAAACGATTGTACACATGTACAAGGATAAAATTTTAGTAAAAAAGGAAACTTAAAGAAACGTCAAAACAATAAAAAAGAAAAAAAGAACAGAAATTGAAAATCTCGGTGTGTAAGAAATATCTTTTTTTAAAAATCTGTAAAAAAACTATTTGTTAAATAAAATTGAAGTATAGCATGAGACATTTTGCAACATAAAAGTGTACATCTATTCTGATAAATTTTCAATATTCTTCAACTGTACTCCAAAAAAATCGTACGCGATCCTTTTAGGACGCGTTGTCGATTATTGTTAAAGTGGAAGCTTTAGAAAATGGCCGACAGTTGGACACAGAGCGTTGTTTGCCGGTAAGAAATTATTTTGTGATTATTTTTAATGATTATTTTATTAATTGTAAGAAATTGTATCATGAAAATATAATTTGCTGTTTAATTTTACGTAAATAAAAATGTATTAAAATTAGAGATATATTGTATAAGTAAACAAACATATAAATATTAAGTAATTAAATTTTGAAAATTTATTTTAGTGACTTTTACATATTTCTATATACTTTTTTATGTATTTATACAAAATAAATACAATATAGATTTGTATAAATTCATAAGTAGCTTTAATATTTATTAATTATTATTATTTATTGATAAGTAAAAATGTTTAATATTTTATAATAATTTAATATTTTCACTTTTTCTTATTATAGTTATTTTAAAAATGGTATGTGCCGTGAAGGAAATAATTGCAGATACCGACATACTCAAGGAATTTGGAATGATGGAAATAATGAAACTATAATATCTTCTTCTGCCCCATCTATGAATACTGTTTGTCGTTTTTTTAAACTTGGTATCTGTAAATTTGGAAATCAGTGCTATTTTCGTCATAGTACTGAAACTGTTGATAACAATTTGGTAAATGCAAATTCAATAGAAAGTTCATCACCTGGACAACACACTTCAAATATTTCAACTCCGACAACAATAAAGAATGTGTATGTTGTCGTCAGATGACATTATAGTTCAGCAAGATTTAAGTCGTAATACCATTTGCATATCACATAATAATTATATAATATGGTATATAAAAATATACGACATATATCTGCATATATATATATATATATATATACATACATACATATACATATACACATACATACATACACATATATATATAATAATTAAGATAATAAAAAATATGATGTATTAAAATATATTTATGTACTTCCAGCAAAGACAATACTTCTATTGCTGAGGAATGGGTAAAGGCACCAGAATTTATACCTTCACATATAGCTGGATCATCTTCCACAAATGAAGCCTCTACAACTTCAGGAACATCTATAAATTCTTCAATTTCAATATCTTATGCTCAAGCTGTAAATCCATCTGGTCAAGCATCCAGTCCAGCTTTAGAACCTTTATGTCCATATGCAGAAGCAACTGGAATTTGCAAAAAACGTAATTGTACATATTTACATGGAGATATTTGTGAATTATGTAATCGTGCTGCACTTCATCCATATAATGAGGAACTTAGAAAGAAACATACAAATGTAATTATACATTCAATATTATATTGTTTATATTGTTTAAAAACAATATATAAATTATTAGTAAAATCATTATTAATGTTAATGTTCCAGGCATGTGTCAAACAACATGAAGTAGACATGGAGCTTTCATTTGCTATTCAACGTAGCAGAGAAAAATCTTGTGGCGTTTGTTTTGAAGTTATAATGGAAAAAGCATCTGGAGAACAAAGATTTGGTATTTTACCTAATTGTAATCACTGTTTTTGTTTAAGTTGTATTAGAAAATGGAGACAAGCTAAACAATTTGACAATAAAATTATAAGAGCTTGTCCAGAATGTCGTGCTACCTCTGATTTCGTATGTCCAAGTATGTATTGGGTAGATACAAAAGAAGAGAAAGAAAAATTAATAATGGATTATAAATGTGCGTTAAGGTAAGATAAATTATATACATTTAAAATATTTAATTATACTATATTGTTTATTTATTATAGTACTAAAGATTGTAAGTACTTCAATAAAGGACGTGGTAAATGTCCATTTGGCAATAAGTGCTTTTATCTACATGCACTTCCTGATGGCACTAAAACAGACGTTGGTCCTCCTGTTCGTCAACGACGTAATGCAGATGCAGATGATATTTTGCGAGTAAGTTCAAAATTTTCCAATAAAAAATATCAAAATTGATTTATATTGATATTATATAGTTTTTTTAAGATTGAGTAATTGTTAAAGATATGTAAAAAATTTCCAAATTTTTACAGCAAATAATTTTGTGGGACTTTTTTGAAGAAAGAGACACTCGTTGGATATATGATGTAGATCTTGAAGATATTGTTTCTCTTTTTTCAGGTTCAGAAGAATCTGAATGGTCTGAATTTGAATTTTAGATTGAGTAGTTGTATTAATTTAGTAATCTGCTACTATTGTTGTTAACTGTATCATCTATCTCATCCACCACTTTGTATGTGGTTTCAATGGCTGAATAGACAAGTAGTTTATAAATTGTTTCAATGGTTATGATTTAAAGACATCTCAACTACATTAATGAAAAATTTGTGTGCTTTTACTTGATAATATTTACGTGAAAAATATGTAAATAATATCAAGTTAATAATGATAATAACAACAAAAAAACAATAACAAAGAGGTTACAGTCTTATGTACAATGGCAAGTTTTTAAATGTTACATAGTTATTTTCTAATCGAATTTGTTTATGTATCTTGACCAATATTGTTACAACTAATACTCAATCATAAAAATATGCATCAATCTATTATATATCAGTGGTCCAAATTAATTCGATTAATAGAATATATCAATATAATAATCATTTGCTAGTATAAAAATAAAAAGTTTGTTTCTTCCTTTTTTAATTTGGCTTTAAACATCTTTTTTTTAAATAAAATAAATAAATACTGTTTTTTATAACAACAAAAGTAAATTTATATATTTAAACTTTTTATTAAGAAATCCTTATTTTTTTTGAAGAGAATCATTGTTTAAGATTTTTAATAGAATTATTTTCATAAATATTATACTTACTATTAACTTTTGGCTTGAAACTTAATGTTTGCTTAAAAACAGATTAAATAAAATAAAAAAATATAAATTTATTTTTATATAGCTTTATTAGTTTAGAATTAATTTTAATTTCGTTTGGGTACTTATATTGCCAGCAAAAAAACCTCAACTTTTATTATATTTATTTGTTATTCAACTTGGATAATGAAGAATTTATAGAATGTAAAATTTTGATTTGAATTAATGAGATAGTAAAATATATAAACAATTTATTGTTCGTAATAATCAGTATATAATATCTATTTGAGTATCAATTATTCATATTGAGGATACAATTAACAAGTTTTGTCCTACCTCCAATTATGGCTCTGCGAACACTTAACAAATTTCCTTAACTTATTAAACTGTATAGCATTAGTTTCTAATTAATAGTTTTAAGATAATCGTGATAAATTGCGCAAATCGAGTGTTCTATATAATAAGTGTATGTCTGGGCGATAGTATGAAAATTTGGTTGAATGTGTGTACTGCTAAATATAATAAAAAAAAAACTCTTTTTAGCGAGTATACACAAACAGATTTCAGATATAGAAAAAAATAACAAATAAAATTTATTTTATAAACGAGTATTGAATTCAAAGCTGTTTGGAATCTTTGTTATTTTATCTTTTTGCATTTTATATTTGCAATTAAATATATTAAATATACATTTAGTATATTTAGACATTTTTTTAGTTAAAAGTTTAGTTAAGTTAAATTTTTTAAATAAATAATATTGCAAAAATAAATTATTATTTTCACTGATATGAAAAAAGGCAATCAGAGCTTTATAAATAGAAATAAAAACCAAAGAATATGGTATCAATTTTTTTATTAGTTATTTTATAAAAATGATTTTTTCTATTAAAAGATTATATTCTAAATCTATTGCTCTGAGTGAATATTTGATTATCAAATTATTTAGAAATATTTCATACATGTAAATCCATTTATTATTACACTTAGTGATAAGATACTCTTCTCTTGAACAACATTATCTATCCTCAGTGTTGTCTTTAAAGAATAAGATAATCACATTGTTCGTCAATAAGACCTAATATTATCGAAAGTTTTTTCAAACAATCTTTTCATGATAAAATATGTAAATTGTTTATATTTTCTATAGAATTTCTATACTGTTAATTTTATAGCGAATTGTTATAATTAAGTGTTTATTGTTATTGCTAACGTCGCTTATAAATCTATTTAGAATATTCTGTATATTGTCCCTATATAAAGCACTTGTCTTATATTTTTGTTTTATCTATTATGTACATTTTAATATAATATTAATGCATCTAATACATGCTATCACAATTAAAAAGCATATGAAAGTAATTAAAATATATAACTTTCATGTGTTATGTATTAGTTTTTTTTAACATTATTATTAAAATTTATGCGTTATCAATAAGAATAATAATCATGTTGTTTGATAACATTGAATGTAATTTATGGATTCTAATGTGTTTTTCAATAATGTATGTCTCGTTATTGTCCAAAAAGCAAGGAAATATACACTGCCAATGGGTCTGATTGTAAGTTCAATTTTAATTCATTTTGTGAAGTGCAGTTGTAAAGTGAAAAACAATGCTTCGCTCATATAATATGTTACGCGTATATGTTTTTGCAATTGCACTATTTAAATGTATAAAATTATAGTTTATAATAATTTATGTGATAGTATGAAAGATAATTTTTAAGATGAAATTAATTAATTGATATTGAATTATATTTTAGGTATAATTAATTGATTGTTATTCCGTACTATAAAAAAATTTATTAGATAAGATTTTGTTCACTATATAATTTAAAATTTAATTTTCTTTTTATTATATTTTATTCATTTTAATATATATCTTATTTTACAAAGAAAAAGAAAAAAATATGCGGTATCTATAAGAATAATAGTTTTTTTAATTAGTTTAATTTAAACACATACTTTGACTGAAACAAATAATGTAGATTTTAATCCTGTTTAATTTATTTATTGATTGGTTTTAATTTTTTTATCGATATGTCGCCTTTGTCTATTTTTTTATATGACTTTTTTTAAATTAATATGATTTTACAAATAATAATCAAACAAAAATTTCTTATTGTAAAACAAGACATTAATTCTTTTCTTAGTCTTCTATTCTATCAGCATTATTCGATGTTATTCATAATATTATATAAAAATATAACAAAATTAATAGCTTTATATTAATTTCTATTATTATTTATATTTTAATATAGAAATTAACAAAATTAGTATGTATTATAGTTTTCAAATTATTAAATATATAATTGTTTAAATATTTATTAATAGGACAATGGACGCTTAAGTTAGCTAAATAAATGTGTAAAAGAATATCGCGGAAGAATTTTTTTTTTAAATATTTAATGTTTAATAATATAATCAATCATATAAATAATAAAAAAGAATGTATCTTTTGAGATTTATGTAAATTGTAAATTTAATTTGGAATGTCAATTTTTGTGATAATTTAAATATAGGAATTAAAAAACTCTCAAATTTAAGAATATTTTTTATTCACAAATATTTTTTCATTGAAAGAATATAACTGTTTTGTAAATAAAATATTATAATTATAAAAAAATGTAACATTGTTTTTTTTTAAATGAAAACATTAAAGAATATTAAAGATAAAGTTAAATCAATCAATTATTTATTTATTTTTAAAAAAAAATTACTATATTATTTTAGATAATGTATTTAATAAGTAAAGAAGATTAAATGAAAAGAGAGAAATTAAGAATTATTTATATCTATTGAACTTATGTGATATAATATTTATATAATTTAATAATATTAATTTGAGTATACATTGAATTATTAAATACAAAAATTAAAATTGCGAAATTAAGTAGAATGTATTATAAGAATATATTTCAAAATTAAATAGAATTTTGTTATGTTTATATATTTTCTTTAAATAAATATAATCAAAGTATAATATGTGAATCAATACATCAAAAATTTTTTTTTCTGTCCGAATCTTTTCTTTTATATCTTTACTCTTATTTTACATTGTACAGAAATTTATTAAAAGAATTATTCTTATAAAATATTTTTATAAATGTATAATATACTGAAATATACTTAAATTATTTCTTATAATTATTACTTATTTATATATTTTCTTTTTAAAATTTATTGTTTTAATACTATACATTTTTATTATCTTTCAAATGTATTTTTAACTTCTTAAATTATTTTAAAAGTAACTTTTGACTATATCTTATAAATATTACGTAAAGTTATAAAAGATTATTATTTTTATTTTTTATATACAATAAACACGATCATTTTTTAACTTCATTTTTTTTTTATTATATAAAAAATATTATTTTTAAGCCTGATCATGATTATCAATTGTAAAATCTAATTTCTAGAATAGAATTTCTAAGTAATTTTTAAGTTAGAAAATCTTGATACAATATGTTAAAAATTATTCATTAACATTTCTTTTTATATAAGAATTTATCTTATAATATATTTGTTACAAATTGAATTTTAGTTGTAATTTTAATAAAAAATTTAACAAAAATAAGGCACTTTTCAGGTCTCTCTATTAATTTTAATATAGTTAATTTGGATATTATAATCTATAAATTATGAAAAATATCTCAAATTATAATTGTCATATTAAAACAAAAATTTTTCCACCAATATATCATATATTTTTTTATACCAATATTATTCAAATTTTTTAAAAATTAAAAATGAATTTTAAATATTTTGAATGTTCAGATAGGTCCAGCCTATATTATTTGTATCGTATTATTCTATTTCTAAATTACATCTATTTTATGGACAATTAAAAATTATCTTAATGATGTGAGATAAGGTTGACATGTCATTCGTTGAACCGGTTGATAAATTCTTTTTTGAACTGAACCAGCAATTGAACCATTATGTATAGTATTTGTTTCTGATTCTCCGAGTATATCGTTTGTTCCAATATAGTGTGATCCTCGAGAATCATTTTGAGTTTCATTTGAAATATTTTGTCCATTCGTTTCATTCCTTTTACGAAATTTGGTGGAATATTTATAGAAATCAGACATTTCAAAAGGTTTTGTAACTTCTCTATATGGTTGATATCTTCCAGCTTGTACAATTGTACAATTTTGTGAAGATCCCAATATAATTGTTTCTTCATTCGTTTCTTGATTTGATTTTGATTCCGCTGGAATTTCAAGCACTTTTATATGTGTCGGTTCGTAACGAGAGGACAATGGTTGCAAATGTTGATCAGTTTCAACCATCAATATATCACTTTTACGATGATTAACTGAAGACACATAATTATTTTTGTCTTCATTAGTATTACCAGTGGATGATTTGGAGCAAACAGGTAGAGTAGATTGATAATGAATATTTTTATGCGATGATATTAAATTGATATCTGATCCTGGACTTGTACCTGAATCCAAAGAAGTTTCATACCATTCTTTTTCTTTTCCTTTTTTACCAATATTATCCATTGTATCTTTATTATCATGTAAATGATTTGACTGCCATTTTTCTACACTGCCTAAAGATTGAGTACGTAGTAACATTTTATTATTACTAGACGATTGTTCGGATAATGGAAGTAAATGGACAGAAGTATTTTGAGACGAAATGTAAGAAGAATTTTTAGTACACCCTACAGATACTGTACGATATCGTGGTTGTATATCGGTGACAATATTACTATTATGTTGAACGGCATTGCGTTTTCTTCGATCTAAACTGCCAAATCTATCTGAAGCAAATTGATCATCTGTA